AGCCCCAACCCCCAGTGCAGGAATGTCATGCACCGGGCCTCTAGTATACAGTATAAGTAGAGAGATTGGCTTTAGACAGGAATTTGGGTAGTTCATCTATAATTCAAGAAAAGACAGGAGAAATAAACATTTGTGTGCGGATAGGAATTTGCCTCCAGAGGATGACAATTTGGTACGTAAGGAATCAATAAAGAAATATATTTTTAAAAAAAAGAAAAAATGTGCAGCAGGTGCTGACGGTAGCTGTAATGGAGGAAGTTTGTGAAATCTTTCCTGGTTACTTCAGTTTTCTCAAGTAGGAAGCGAGGGCGTCAGCTGACAGGATAAGAGAAGGGATTGAACAGAAAGGAGAACGTAAAATAGTCATCTGAGACAGGGGTCAGTAAACCTTATCTAAAAAGGCCAGAGAGTAAATATTTTAAGCTTTTGGGCCTTAGAATCGCAGCCTGTGTCACAACTACTACTCAACTCCGCTATTTTTAGCCCAAAGCAGACATAAACAATAAGTGCATTGGTTTTCCATGGCTGTGTTCCAGTAAAATTCGATTTAGAAAAGCAGCCGTATAGCTCATGGACTGTCGTCTGCTGACCACTGTTCTAAGAGAATGGAGAAGTGATGGACTAAGGATGTACAGAGATTACCTGGTAGCGTTAAGGGTCTACTTGAGGTTTGTGGCCATGTATTGAACGTGCAAACAGTCAACATGGTGGCAAGTGTGTTTCTCCAGCCAAGTTCAGCTGCAGAAGTGCAGACGTGGATGGGAGCACCGCATCTACTGTGCCCTGCCAGGCAATGTGATGACGTGGCCTAAGGGCAAAGGACTTGAGGGTGTATGAAGGGTGGTATGACGATAGTGACGGTCTGTGGGGTTCATGCTGAGTTAGGCGAACATCTGAGGATGGGGATTGGTGGATGCCAGGTGATGTGAGCTGGAAAGAGGAGGTGGTGGTCAGAGAACCAACGGGTTGTCTTCATTCTTTTGGGAGAAGTAATGGGTGTGACCTAGGGAGTGAGTTTCTGGCGTCTGTGAAGGACAGGACCACTGGAGCAGAGGAGATCAATGCTGAAGGCCAAGGTGCGGGAGGATCGCCTCTGTGTTTTACTATGGTTGCAAATATCAAAAAATTTCTATATGTGACACGTCACCAGAGTTAAGTTAGGGTTTTTCAAAATGCTGACATGCCGAGCTCAAATGGTTCGCCATCACTGTTCTAGAGAGAGCCTTCAAATCACTACCAAGTGTTCGTGTAAGACGAGGAACCTGATCGCCTTCAGGTTGTTGAAATGTGGCCGATGAACAAGGATTAGAAGAGGGGGAGTGGCCTGTACAGAGACACAGAAGCAGGACACAGCTTTGGGGACACGCAAGCGGTTAGATTGCTAGTTTGGAGAACTAGCGGAGAGAGCATATGGTAATGGGGGCTTTAGAAAAAGGCAGAGTTTGGAGTCAGCCAAGGGGAATATGAGAAAGCGAACTGACAGGAGATAATAAAAAAGATAGACTGCAGCACCAGAGACCCAAAAGAGATGGGAAACTCATAAATTTCCATGTTTTTCATCTCAGAAGTCACCAGCCAATACATAACAGACCACTGTTCTAGGGGTTCTGAAGGGTATTTTGTTTTCTAAGAATATTCTTACCTGTGGAGTACTGTCAGGTCATTGAAAGACAAGATGTATGTCTGTGAAGCAGTAATAAAGTAGATACAGTAGAGTGTTAATTGTTCTAGACACAAGGTTAATATAAGAACTTAGAAGAGAATGAACATGTGAAACTTACTTAGATTTTGGTGTGGAAACGGTTGATTTATGACACTACTAGTTAGTAAACCTTAGCAATCTGGGTCTCATCTGAATTATCATAGAAGGTAATCTCTTTTTCTTTATAGGATTATAAGACACGAGATGTGACTGGCGATGTGAAAAATATTGTAAGATTTGTGCAAGAACACAGTTCATCACAAGGAATGGGAAATAGGAACCATGGGGGTCCTTGTGGGAGGTTCACCATGAATATGCTGGTTGACATTTTCTTGGGTAAGTCATCTGTTTTATTGGTTTGCGTTATATCAGTTGAAGTTGAACATCTTAAGAATTCCCTTGTCTGTTTCCTTATAGACGTGAAGGGCTTCAGGATAAAACCTTTTTCGACTAACAAAAGAAAATCGGTTTTTATGGATTATGCCGATTTTTTTTTCCAGAAAGAAATACGTTATGTTATGTGTTTTTAAAATTGAGTTTTCGAGAGAGAGGAAGGGAGACAGAGAGAAACATCGATGTGAGAGAGAAACATAGATCACTGCCTCCTGCATGCAACCCAACTGGGGATCGAGCCCACAACCTGGAATCAAACAGGCTTTTCAGTGCATGGGACAGTGCTCAACCAACGGAGCCACACCGGCCAGGGCTTTGCTAATTATTTTTATGGAATTTATAAGTCACTAAGGCAGTGATGGCGAACCTTTTGAGCTCGGCGTGTCAGCATTTTGAAAAAACCTAACTTAACTCTGGTGCCGTGTCACATATAGAAATTTTTTGATATTTGCAACCATAGTAAAACAAAGACTTATATTTTTGATATTTATTTTATATATTTAAATGCCATTTAACAAAGAAAAATCAACCAAAAAAATGAGTTTACGTGTCACCTCTGACACGTGTGTCATAGGTTCGCCATCACTGCCCTAAGGTGAGGAATTCTCACATACAAAGAAGTAAAATAAAGCTTATACAGTTTAGTCTGAGTGGAATAGAACTTGCTTAGAGAATTACATGTTGACTAACTTTCAGTTCAAGATGGCAGCCTGAGCATAAGTATCTTTCTTCTTTTTTTTGCTTGACACTCTGTTAAAATAGTAATAAGGAAATAAAATGAGAAATTATATATGCAATGGCACAGAGAATCAGAGAGAGACCATCATTAGATTGAGGAAATGGATGGAAGCATGTTGACAAATGGAATGAAGCGCAGTAAACCACGATGCTAAAATAATCGTAGGAGAGAGTTAGAGCAAGGGAGGGACGATCAGCCAGGCAGAACCCCTTATCAGTAGGCCTCAGGCTTGAAGTCTGGACCCAGGGAGTGGGAGTGAAATCAGGGGAGCCCAAAAGAGGCAAAATAGGAGAGGGCTGTTAAAAAGAGTCTGCCCACCAAAGAACTGCATTAAATACCAGCCTGATTCTAAAACAAAAATAAATGAACTGCCTGAGGACTAAAACGGCAGCTGAGCCCTAGTCGGTTTGGCTGTGTGGATGGAGCTTGGGCCTGTGGACTGAAGGGTCCCAGGTTCGATTCTGGTCAAGGGCACATGCCCGGGTTGCAAGCTTGATCCCCAGTTGGGGGCAATGCAGGAGGCAGCCAATCAATGGTTCTCATCATTGATGTTTCTATCTCTCTCCCTCCCTCCCTCTCTGAAATCAGTAAAAGTATATTTTAAAGGGGGGGTGAGGAGGCAGCTGAGTTAGCATGGTCGGGGGGGGGCGGGGGGCCCAACCCACCTAAAGTCCAGTCCTGTCCCTCTCTGAAATCAGTAAAAATATATTTTAAAGGAGGGGGGGCAGCTGAGTTAGCATGGTCGTGGGGGGCACCCAACCCACCGAAAGTCCAGTCCTAC